ACATCGTCAAGGGCACTGTCCCCAGCCAACAAAGGTCGGTCTTCGACCATAAATGTTGGTGTCCAGGGTTTGTTGGTGTGGAACATACCCAAGCTGTGTTGCTTCTTCAGACTTTGGCTCCTTGGATTGCGATTTGTCAGGTAGATCAACCTTGGTGGGCCTCTTCCTGATGGCTGATGATTTTCCCTCGATCTCAACCAACTTCGAGATCGGCACAGTCTCTTCAGACTCGACCTCTATGACAGTGGCTTTGGCCTTAGCCCTTTTTACCCTTTTGACTTTGGGCTTGGATTAAGGCTGGAAATGAGAGGAGGATTGGACTGTGACCACACCAGGGATGTCGGCAAGAAGGTCATTGGGAACAATCTACCTTCAAATCTTAGTTCTCTGCTTTCAAATTTCAATTCTCTCATCACTGTAAAACTTGATTCAAACAATTTTCTGATCTGGAAAAACCAGATTCAAAATGTTCTTCGTGCAACAGAGCTTCTTGGATTTGTCACTAGTTCAATTTCATCTCCAAATCCAGAATTAATTGATTCATCAAGAAAATCCATTGCCAATCCAGAATTTGCAAAATGGAAAACTAATCTTCTCAGTTTTATCACAACACCACTTTCTCCTCCTGTGTTTTCTTCAATCCTCCATCTTCAAACTTGTTCTCAGATCTGGAATGCTCTAGAAAAAAGGTATACCTCTCTCTTTCTCTCTATCTCATATCCATCAACTGAAGAATAAGTTGCAAACAATTTCAAAGAGAGGTCTATCCATGGAGGAATATCTAACTCAGATCAAAGAACTTTCAACTCAGCTTAGTCTTGCCTCATCTTCTATAGATGATGAAGATCTAGTGCTTCTGACTCTGAATGGTCTACCAGATGAGTATGATGCCTTTAAAACTTCAATTCGTGCTAGAGTTGAATTTATTGCTATGGATGAATTGAGTTCTTTGTTGTGTTCTGAGGCCACTCACATAGACAACAAGACTAAGACTGCTTTTAGCACTGATACTACAATTGCGTACTCTGTAACAAAGAGCAATGAGTCTAGTTCTTTTTGAGGATCTTCCTAGTTCAACTATTGCTCAACCTTTTTCTTTTGTACACAGTGATGTCTAGGGGCCTTTTCATGCCTCTAAATGTGGATATAAATACTATCTTTTGTTTGTTGATGACTTCACAAGGTTTACATGGATTTATCCTTTAAGGTCATGTTTGTTTGGGCGGATTGGATTAGCATTCTCATGACTAATAGTCCTAGGACTACGAATCTGTTGGATTATGTATCCTATCTTAATTAATAGTCAAGTTTGAAATAATTAATCCGTACTTCAATTGTTTAATCAAACATCGGATTAATAATTTTATTAGACTATTAGTCCAATCCCAAGCTCATGTCCACCCAAACAAACATGACGTAAATGTCAAGAGTGAGGTTTATCCTACTTTTGTTTCTATCAAAGCTTATGCTGAAATACAATTTGGTTTCTCTTAAAGTGTTTAGATTAGATAATGGTACTAAATTTGTTAATCATAAAATGATTGACTATTTGATCTACCATGATATTGTTCATCAGATCAGTTGCCCCTATACTCCCGAGCAAAATGGTATTGCTGAGAGAAAACATCAACATATTACAGAGACTGCTATTGCTCTACTTTCTCAGTCCTCTGTGCCCGTTGATTACTAGTTTGAGGCCATGGCCACAGCAGTGTTTCTCATCAACAGAATGCCTAGCCTTTCTCTTGGTCATAAATCTCCTTTTCAGCCTCTTTTCAAGACCACTCCTGATTATACTTTTCTTAAGGTCTTTGGTTGCTAATGTTTTCCTTGGTTAAGGCCCTATACCTCTCATAAACTTCAACCTCGACCATCTCCATATGTTTTCCTTGGCTATCATCCATCTACTAAGGGTTATAGATGCTTAGATCCTATTTCTAGAAAAAAATTTCATTTCTAGGAATATCTTGTTTAATGAATCTTATTTTCCTTTTCCTTTACAACCTCATCCTTCACCTCCACTCATGTTTCCTCTATGTCCTCTACACTTGTCACTATTTCTGCTCCATCTTTTTCTCCAGTCTCTGTTTCCTCTGTTCCTACTCCATCTCTAGTTGTCCCTTCTTCCTCCTTACCTGCTCCATCTATTCCATCATTATCTCTTACATATCCCTCTCCTTATGTACCTCATTCTCCTTTCCCTATCCCCATTAATTATATTTCTATTCATCTTCCTTTGCCTTCTTAGTCTTCTTCTCTACCTGTTCCTAGGTCTACACATGTTCCTTCTCAATCTGCTGCTAATATCCATCTCATGCATACTAGATTCAAAACCTTAGCTTTACTTGTTACTACTGATCTTACTACTACTGAACCAACATCTGTCAAGCAGGCTTTGTAGTCCTTTGTCTAGGTTACTGCGATGACTGAAGAGTTTCAGGCTTTGCATAAGTAACAAACCTGGGATTTGGTTCCTCTCCCTGCTCATAAAGCTTCTATTGGTTGTAAGTGGGTTTTCCGGATTAAGAAAAGCTCTGATGGCTCAATAGCCAGATATAGAGCTAGACTTGTGGCTAAGGGGTATCTTCAACAAGAAGGAGTGGACTATCAAGAAACTTCTAGTCCTGTTGCTAAAAAACCCACCATTCGAACTCTTTTATGTTTGGCCCTTCATCATCACTGGCCTACAGACCAACGAATACGTCACTGGAAGTAATGGACAGAGTAGTTATAGAGCTTGAGAGCTTGAAAAATGGTGGTTCAAGAAGGAAAGTTTAGAGAGAAAAATTGAGCACAGAGAGAAATCAATTTTGTAAGAGTGAAGAGGCAAAGAGAGAGAGAGTTTTTGTCAAAAATACGAAAAGGCTGCAAACCATAATGGAAATGCCTTGGACGATGTGCCTGCCAGGCGGCGTGGCAGCAATGACGTGCCCTAATATCGCGTGTCACGTATGAACCAACAAGAAAAGGGTCATGTGGAGGAAACGATTAAGTGGACTATGCGTGACAGCTCATGCACAGTTAGAACTCTTGAAATTCTTAAGATAATGAAGCTGTAACCTCGGCTAGAGGAATGATCTCGGTTGAGATGTTTAAAGAATTAAGTTCTTGGTTCTTGATCCTTGGAAGGATGGACAGCTAAATCCTAAATATATAAAGCCGACGAGATTATCTCAATTGAAAAGAAGAATGAATTTTTGTGACATGCTACGTAGACAAACGATGTAGGTTCCATTACCTCAGGTTGCCGAGGTAATAGAACCTAGGGGGTAGATGTGGGGACGTATTTTGTGAATGACAGCACATGGCTAAGATAACGCCGAAGTGTCAACCGATGTGCCATGTAGCTTGGTCGAACTGTCGAGATGATCTCGGCTGGACCGAGGTTATCTGCGGAGATACCAAAATCCGAGATAAGCAGATAAGGGGGGAAGAATCTTAGATGAAAGAGGGCTCTAATCTAGATAAGGATAAAGCTCTTAGGGAATTTATCCCTATCTAGCTAGGAATCCCAAGAAGCATTATGTGTCAAAATCCCATGAAGTAAGACTTCTAGGGGAGTTGGACACTAATGGCTATAAAAACATGGCACCCTCGAGGGTCAAAGGTAAGTCCCCTTTTGTGAGTTTAAGCACATTTAGCTATCTTTGAGAGATATTTGATTACTGACTTGATCGTCGGCGTGCCCTCAGGTAGAAGAACCACCGCGGTATTCTTATCTTTCTGTGGCAGGTTGTTCAGGCTTAATCTATTCTATCGGTGCTCTTCAGCTGAGTTCCTTGTTTGGTTGTGTGGTCAAAAATCAATACCCACACATAGAACTTTAGAAAGAGTGCTGAAGTGTTTATAGGCAGTAAGCAATAACAATTCAATGATAGAAAAGTTCACAGTTTGAAGACTCTGTTATACTCTGTTTTGTTCTAAAGTCTGATTGGGCCTTCAATCTTCAATGCGGAGGATGGTGGTCATGAGACATAGGGGAGAGAGAGCGAGAGAAGATCGGTGATCGTTGGTCGCAAAAGGACAAAGAAGGGCGAAGGAGATTGGTGGTTGAATTTCGTTGTCGTTGTAAAAACTATCCAAACAATCAAACTGATTATCACAAGCCCTAACGCTGTGTTTGGTTGGGGGATTTGGAAAAAAAAATGAAAAAGGCATGTAAAATTAAATGAAATATAGGTATGTTTTATTCACATTTCACCTACTTTTTCTCTTTCTATTTTCAAATTCTTTCTCAAATCCTCTAACCAACCACAACATAAATCAATTTGTCAAAAATAAAAATGCATACATATATCACAGATACATACACATACATATATGATTATCCAAACTGATTAGTTAAAAATTACTCAAACAAAAACTCCCAAAACCCTCAAAATTCCTTCTTTTGTAAATACAAACATACTTATTGAATGATTTTTTTTTTTCTCACAAATCTTAACCTTATCATACTTACACAACACGTATGGAAGAGATTTGTTAAAGAACTTATTTGGAAGTCCTAAATAATAAAATAAATTGATTAAAATCTTTCAACCAGAGCCTTGACCCAAACCCTCATCTTTTTAATTAATGGTCAATCAAAACTAACGAAATTGTGCGTTCCAAACAAACTACGCTAAATAATATATAGTGTATTATTTATACCAAACAAACTCAAAGTTACTATTTAAAGAGCAGCTCTTCCCTTATTATATAGTGTATAGATGAACTGGAAATTACGCTAAATAATATCAATTTTTGGCACAACTCACTTTCCGTAAAACTACCACCGGAAACCAAAAACAACATTGGAAAAACATGCTTTACTGCGAGCATAACTCCCAAAAATCCAAAGCACCAATGCCATGGATTGGAATATATGTTGCAGCAGCATCTCTAATTTGCTTCTTAACAATTGTTGCCGATGCTTTCTATGCATTTCGAAACAAAAAATTTGGTTCCCGTGCAAATTCTTCACTATCAATGCCGCTACGCTAACATTGTTAGGTGTAGCAATGAAGATGCCATTGGATGTGAGTGGTGACATGTACGGAGGAAGTGATCAACTTGTAAAACTTAGCAACACAGTCATGATGTGTATTGCAATAGGTAGTTTTATGCCATCTTTGGGCCCCATGGATGATAAAGATATATTCACCAACATAATAGCCTTGGGTATTCTTATAATCACCGTGATTGTGAATGTTTGCATCTAATTAGTTACTTGTACAATTCCGAATGAAATACTAGTAGAACATGTTCTAGTTAATTTTTTTATGCTTCTGTTGTTGGTAATATCAACTTTCTCGGCAGTTACAGTTGCTACCACTAAAAAACATCTAGAATTGAAGTATAGTGAAATACACAAAGAAGCATTAAGAGAACAAATTGGAAAGAAAATTACAGTTGAAAAACTGAAAGAAAATGTCAACAAGTACTGGATGATGGCAGAAACTGGGAGCCCCCAGTTTGTGATGGCATGTTCTGTGACCTGCTCTGCTTCAGGGGTGATCTGTCTTATGACTGCTCTAATTTTAGCACAACTTTAGTACCGAGTGTGGGATTTTGCTACAACTGGGGAATCAGATTATGCGTGGTCAACATTTTTTATTTTTGCAATTCAGATTGCTACAGTGGGCGTGGGGATCATTGATCCGATATGTAGATGGTTCACTGCCATTAAATTCAAATGCTCCAAGGAAAGTACCAAAGGCTTCAAAACTGAGCTCAAACCAAAGAGTTATTGGATTAAGAGGTTGGAAGAATGGAAGAAGAGCTCTATAGTTCTTCAAATCCGTGGTCTGAAATTGAGAAAACTTGTCCAGCGCACCAAAAATCTAGCTTTGAACTTGTGTGTAATGATTCAGGTTATGATTGTGGTAACAAGCAAATTAACTCTTCTCATTCCCCTTTTTTTTGTTCGCCGGCTCATGTTATGTTACTGCTGTTGCTACAATTTGTTTAAGGAGCCTATACATAACTCAACATCCCCAACGAAGTCGGATAATGTTTTGCTTCTTGAAGGTGAAGTGGAACTTACTGAAAGTACCTTGAAGAACATTAGTAAAGCAGCAGGTCATTTCATCATCAAGGCCAACAAACAGCATCGCAAAAATTTAATCGAGCTTCTTCAACAGAAATCTACAGGTGGCTTTGAATGCATATTAGACTTTCACAGCGACCAAGTTCCATCATTAGATTCTCAAGAACCTCTTAATTGCTGGGCTTTGCCATTGGTGACTCTAACTTGCATCGCCATTGCAATTTCCAAAATCAATAAGAACATGGCTGACAGGCTTGTGCTCAGCGTGAGCGAAGGCCTCTCGCATGTCAGACATGTTGACGAAACCGTGGATATCAAAGGGAACCTCACAAATAGTAGAGATGCAGCTGATAAAGTGTGGTTAGGAGTCGAACTTGAAGGCAAGTGGCTTGATGAAGATCTCACCAGAATAGCTCCCAAAGAAACATCTTGCAGAGAGACTTTTCAAATAGTCGTTGATTTTGCTCAGAAAATTGTTATAAAATACAAGGCAAATATCAATGCAAGCCCCGCATATACACTAGTTAAAAAAAAAAGAGAAGAAAAAGAAGAAGCATACCTGCGATCATGTTAAATAATTTCAGGAATAGTTCATCATGATTTATCTGGTGATTGTTACCTTCATCATCCAGCAATAGAGATTTGCAAATTCTATACATAGAATTAGCTGCTATAACGTTAATGGGCCAATTGGTAGGCCTCTCGTCGGGGCTTGCATTGATATTTGCCTTGTATTTTATAACAATTTTCTGAGCAAAATCAGCGAGTATTTGAAAAGTCTCTCTACAACATGTTTCTTTGGGAGCTATTCTGGTGAGATCTTCATCAAGCCACTTGCCTTCAAGTTCGACTCCTAACCACACTTTATCAGCTGCATCTCTACTATTTGTGAGGTTCCCTTTGATATCCACGGTTTCGTCAACATGTCTGACATGCGAGAGGCCTTCGCTCACGCTGCGCACAAACCTGTCAGCCATGTTCTTATTGATTTAGGAAATTGCAATAGCGATGCAAGTTAGAGTCACCAATGGCAAAGCCCAGCAATTAAGAGGTTCTTGAAAATCTAATGATGGAACTTGGTCGCTGTGAAAGTCTAATATGCTTTCAAAGCCACCTGTAGATTTCTGTTGAAGAAGCTCGATTAAATTTTTGCGCTGTTGTTTGTTGGCCTTGATGATGAAATGACCTGCTGCTTTACTAATGTTCTTCAAGGTACTTTCAGTAAGTTCCACTTCACCTTCAAGAAGCAAAACATTATCCGACTTCGTTGGGGATGTTGAGTTATGTACAGGCTCTTTAAACAAATTGTAGCAACAGCAGTAACATAACATGAGCCGGCGAACAAAAAAAAGGGGAATGAGAAGATTTAATTTGCTTGTTACCACAATCATAACCTGAATCATTATACACAAGTTCAAAACTAGATTTTTGGTGCGCTGGACAAGTTTTCTCAATTTCAGACCACGGATTTGAAGAACTATAGAGCTCTTCTTCCATTCTTCCAACCTCTTAATCCAATAACTCTTTGGTTTGAGCTCAGTTTTGAAGCCTTTGGTACTTTTCTTGGAGCATTTGAATTTAATGGCAGTGAACCATCTACATATCGGACCAATGATCCCCACACCCACTGTAGCAGTTTGAATTACAAAAATAAAAAATGTTGACCACGTATAATCTGATTCCCCGATTGCAGCAAAATCCCACACTCGATACTCAAGTTGTGCTAAAATTAGAGCAGTCATAAGACAGATCACCCCTGAAGCAGAGCAGGTCACAGAACGTGCCATCATAAACTGGGGGCTCCCAGTTTTTGCCATCATCCAGTACTTGTTGACATTTTCTTTCAGTTTTTCAATTGTAATTTTCTTTCCAATTTGTTCTCTTAAAGCTTCTTTGTGTATTTCACTATACTTCAAATCTAGATATTTTTTAGCGGTAGCAACTGTAACCGCCGAGAAAGTTGATATTACCAACAACAGAAGCATGAAAAAATTAACTAGAACATGTTCTACTAGTATTGAATTGGGAATTGTACAAGTAACTAATTGGATGCAAACATTCACAATCACGGTGATTATAAGAATACCCAAGGCTATTATATTGGTGAATATATCTTTATCATCCATGGGGCCCAAAGATGGCATAAAATTACCTATTGCAATACACTTCATGACTGTGCTGCTAAGTTTTGCAAGTTGATCACTTCCTCCGTACATGTCGCTACTCACATCCAGTGGCATCTTCATTGTTACACCTAGCAATGTTAGCGTAGCGGCATTGATAGCGAAGAATTTGCACGGGAACCAAAATTTTTTGTTTCAAAACGCATAGAAAGCATCGGCAACAATTGTTAAGAAGCAAATTAAAGATGCTGCTGCAACATACATTCCAATCCATGGCATTGGTGCTTTGGATTTTTGGGGGTTAGAGTCGTAGTAAAGCATGTTTTTCCAATGTTGTTTTTGGTTTCCGATGGTAGTTTTACGGAAAGTGAGCTGCGCAAAAAATTGATATTATTTAGTGTAATTTCCAGTTTATCTATACACTATATAATAAGGGAAGAGCTGCTCTTTAAATATTGAGTTTGTTTGGTATAAGTATATTTATTTAGGTGATACTATTTTTTATTTTTTTATAAAAAATTAAAAAATATATGTATTTAAATCATTCAAAACATTCCTTTCTTCACTCTTTTTGTGGTGCGGAGAGTGTCACGTCTCCCCACTTCTCCACACCACATATTTTTCTTCCTGTCTCAATCTCACAGTTTCTCTCTGACGCGATTAAAGTTAATTCCTCTGCAGAGCTACTCTAACAGTAAGAAAAATTATTTAGAGCACTAAAAGAAAAGTACTAAAGGAACTTTAAATTGTCTTTTTCCTCCTTATGTTTTGTCTTTTTCCTCTTTTCTTTTTATTTTAATTTTATTTTAGACATGCCACGTCACTAGAGTTACTTTTAGTAATCTTCTTTTAGTGATCTGTATCATAGTTGCTAACAGTAATAGTCACTATTTTTTGGACAAACTGTCAATGTGAGTAGTACTCAAATCAACTACCATCTACGTTACTACAACTAAAAAACAGGCAAATTACTCTTTCTCCTCCTAAAGTTTCACTCAATATCTATTTTGATTTTTTAAATTTGATTTTTCTTATTTTAATTTTTCATATTTACAATCCTTTTCACTTTGGCTATTTAAATTTGATTTTTCTCATTTTGACCCTTAATGTTTGCAATCCTTCCCACTTACCCTTCATGTTTGTAATTCTTCTCACTTTACTTCTAAACTAATTTCTATCCAAAAAAACTAACATAATATGTTATATCAGCTCCATGTAAGATATAAAAAATTCACTAAAGATGCAAAAAATAAAAAATAAAAAACAAAAAAATTGATTTTTTTTTTTTAGTCTTTAGTGATTTTTTTTAAAAAAATTTATTCATAAACATTATTACATTATAGATGCATCTAGATTAGATGCATCTAAAAAAATAAAAACAAATTTAACTAAAAAAATAAAAGAGTTCACTAAAGACGAAAAAAATGATAGTTAACTTTTCATTTTAGAATTGACAATACAGGCGTTTGAGTCAGTATATTTTCATTTTTTTGTCTTTAGTAAACTTTTTTATTTTTTTAGTTAAATTTGTTTTTATTTTTTTAGCTGCATCTAATCTAGATGCATCTATAATGTAAAAATGATTATGAATAAATTTTAAAAAAAAAATCACTAAAGACTCATAATTTACCCGCCTTAATAAAGTATTAATATTATGGGTTGAATTTCTCTTTAAGTTCAAATTTAAATTTGACTGTTATGTTTGGACTCGTTAGGAGCACCACAAGTCTCATTTCGATTATCAAAACCATTTATTTAGTGGAGTTTTGTTTATCGAAAAGTATAAGTAATTGTCTAAATTGACTTAATTTTTTATTTATTTATGAATGATATACAGAAAAAAACTTACAAAATGAATAATTTTAATTATCGAAACGAAATCCATCATCAACCACGCGAACTTCTCAAATTCTTTAAATTTGAAAGAAGGCAAACCCATCTCGATTTATAAAATTATAGTGAAGACACGCCAGTCCATTTTTGGAGGTTCAACATTAAATTTAGGGATATTTATACATAAATTTTAATTTATAAACTTATATTCTATTAAGTCTAAATTAAGATTTTTTAGATCTTCAAGTCCCATTAAATTTTTAATAGTAAAAATTACCCTTCAAATAATGATTGTTTATTATTTATGATTATCTATAAAGAAATATGATGATTTGACATTTCTCTAATTTGTTATGCAAATTTGATCTTCAGTAAGTAATTTGTAATTTCTCAAACCTCATGAGAGAATCTGTATTTTCACCAAATCTCGAGGGGAGTGTTTGTAATTTGCCCTAAAAATAAACTTAACCGTCTCATTCTTGTTTCATAGCTTTCATGAATCAGATACAAGAAAGGGAAAGGAAAGAAAGAGCAAAAACATAATGAAAAAAGGTTTGTATTTCCTTATTCACTTTGTTCATTATTTGTAGTGAATAAAAAATAAATAATTATATTTTTATAACTATCAATATAAAAATATGCAAAAGTCAATTGATAAAATTTTAACTCCCAACTCATGTAAATTCTCAAAATAAAAAAAAAAAATGCTGTCAAATATTTTTTATTTTCAAAGGTTAATGATGATTTTATTTAAAATACAATTTTTATTTTTTTTAGTGAATCAAATATGAAAATAAACATTATGATGGAATAATCACTTTATTGCATTGCATTCTAGTGAATTGAACATAGTATAAGATGGTTGTGAAACATTTATCAGTATATCACACAACGTAAAAAATAAATTTAGAAAATTTAAAATCAAGTAGTTAAATAATATTAGGGTTGAGTTTCTCTTAAATTTAAATTTCAACCTGACCATTGTCATGTTTGGAATTGTAGGGCCTACCATGGATCCTGATATCGTTTCTTTATAAGGTTTTTTTCTGTATATCATTCATAAATAAATAAAAAATTAAGTCAATTTAGACAATTACTTATACTTTTCGATAAACAGAACTCCACTAAATAAATGGTTTTGATAATCGAAATGAGACTTGTGGTGCTCCTAACGAGTCCAAACATAACAGTCAAATTTAAATTTGAACTTAAAGAGAAATTCAACCCATAATATTAATACTTTATTAAGGCGGGTAAATTATGAAACAACTTTTTTATAATGATAATTATAACAATATATAATTTTTATTTTTTTTATTCTTTACAGATAAGGGGTAATTACATCCCAATCCCAGTGATATTAGGAGAAAAAAAATCTATAAAAAAGTTTATAATTTTAATTATTAATATTTATAAAGTTTTGCACTAATTTGCGCTAATGTAATATTTCCCCTATAAATAAATCACAAAATTCATAAATTGTGTGTTAATAAAACAATTTAAAAAAAAAAATAATGATGAACAATCAAAGTTATGTCATTTTACATTTTTTTCCTCCACACGTAGAACGCACAATTTTGTTAGTTTTGATTGACCATTAATTAAAAAGATAAGGGTTTGGGTCAAGGCTCTGGCTGAAAGATTTTAATCAATTTATTTTATTATTTAGGACTTCCAAATAAGTTCTTTAACAAATCTCTTCCATACGTGTTGTGTGAGTATGATAAGGTTAAGATTTGTGAAAAACAAAAAAAATCATTCAGTATGTTTGTATTTACAAAAGAAGGAATTTTGAGGGTTTTGGGAGTTTTTGTTTGAGTAATTTTTAACTAATCAGTTTGGATAATCATATATGTATGTGTATGTATCTGTGATATATGTATGCATTTTTATTTTTGACAAATTGATTTATGTTGTGGTTGGTTAGAGGATTTGAGAAAGAATTTGAAAATAGAAAGAGAAAAAGTAGGTGAAATGTGAATAAAATATACCTAAATTTCACTTAATTTTATATGCCTTTTTCTTTTTTCTTTTTTCCAAATTCCCCAACCAAACACATTGTTAGGGCTTGTGATAATCAGTTTGATTGTTTGGATAGTTTTTACAACGACAACGAAATTCAACCACCAATCTCCTTCGCCCTTCTTTGTCCTTTTGCGACCAACGATCACCGATCTTCTCTCGCTCTCTCTCCCCTATGTCTCATGACCACCATCCTCCGCATTGAAGATTGAAAGCCCAATCAGAGTTTAGAACAAAACAAAGTATAACAGAGTTTTCAAACTGTGAACTTTTCTATCATTGAATTGTTATTGCTTACTGCCTATAAACACTTCAGCACTCTTTCTAAAGTTCTATGTGTGGGTGTTGATTTTTGACCACACAACCAAATAGGGAACTCAGCTGGAGAGCACCGGCAGAATAGATTAAGCGCGAACAACCTGCCACAGAAAGATAAGAATACCGTGGTGGTTCTTCCACCTGAGGGCACTTTGACGATCACGTCAGTAATCAAATATCTCTCAAAGATAGCTAAATGTACTTAAACTCACAAAAGGGGACTTACCTTTGACCCTCGAGGGTGCCATGTTTTTATAGCCATTAGTGCCTAACTCCTCTAGAAGTCTTACTTCATGGGATTCTGGCACATAATGCTTCTCTTGGATTCCTAGCTAGACAGGGATAAACTCCCTAAGAGCTTTATCCTTATCTAGATTAGAGCCCTCTTTCGTCTAAGATTCTTTCCCCCTATCTATTTATCTCGGATTTTGGTATCTCCGCAGATAATCTCGGTCTAGCTGAGATCATCTCGATAGTTCGACCGAGCCACATGGCACGTCGGTTGACACTTCAGCATTATCTTAGCCATGTGCTGTCATTCACAAAATACGTCCCCACATCTATCCCCTAGGTTCTATTACCTCGGTAACTTGAGGTAATGGAACCTACATCGTTTGTCCACGTAGCATGTCACAGAAATTCATTCTTCTTTTCGATCGAGATCATCTCGTCGGCTTCATAAATTTAGGATTTAGTTGTCCATCCTCCCAAGGATCAAGAACCAAGAACTTAATTCTTTAAACATCTCAACTGAGATCGTTCCTCCAGCCAAAGTTACAGCCTCATTATCTTAAGAATTTCAAGAGTTCTAACTGTGCATAAGCTGTCATGCAGAGTCCGCTCAACTGTTTCCTCCACATGTCCCTTTTCTTGTTGGTTCGTACGTGACACGCGCTATTAGGGTGAGTCATTGCTGCCACACTACCTGGTAGGCACGTCGTCCAAGGCATTTCCATTATGGTTTGTAGCCTTTTCGTATTTTTGACAAAAACTCTTTCTCTCTCTCTCTCTCTCTGCCTCTTCACTCTTGCAAAATTGATTTCTCTCTATGCTCAATTTTTCTCTCTCTAAACTTTCCTTCTTGAACCATCATTTTTCAAGCTCTCAAGCTCTGTAACTGCTCCGTCCATTACTTCTAGCAAAGTATTCATTGGTCTGTTCCAGTGATTGTCATCGCTTGATTCTGGTGATCATTACTTCGGCATCATTTCCTCGCCTATATTCGGTGAGTTCCTAGTTTCTTTCTCTTTAATTTCAGTCTTCATTGTTTTCTCAATATGTTCTTTTGCCACATGTTGTCATCGCATCTATCGCTATTTTGAATATGTTTTCATAGCTATTCCTTGATTTCGGTGATCATTTTTATTCTGCAAATCAATATGTGTTCTTTAATCTGTTCTATGTTTTGTTACCGTCCATTGTCTTGTCTTGTGATTTTCACACACTTGCACACATCTATTCATTGTCTGTGAATTCGTATCTTTCCTCATTTCTTGACAATTGCTTTCTTGATTTTGAATCGCATTCCTTTTTTGGTCTTCTTGTTTTGTTTCTCAAATTCTTGCTTCTTGTTTCTGTAGTTCTAGGTCCTAAAAACCAAACACTTAGGAAAAACTGAAACAAATTCTCCTAAATCTTCAAAACCCTAGACCCAGTGCCTGTTTGGGGTTTGGCCGAGGTCTTCAATCCTATACCAAGTATTTTTTCCAAAACCTTGTACCCACTTCATCAAGCCAACATCATGGGAATGTTTAGGTAGAGGGTAGACACCCCTGCCAAACTAGAGAACTTCAGGTAAGAGTTCTCCATTCCAACTGACATTCAGATCAGGTTGGCTAGAGAGGAGGACTCTATTAAGCCTGTTAAGGATTCCATGCCATTCCTTGTTATGGCATTCATCGAGTGCGGACTTCAACTTCCCCTAGACATCCTCTTTAGGGAAATCCTTCACTACTACAAGCTTAACCCTATGCAACTAGCCATCAACTCCTATAGGGTTATTAATGGCATCATTGAGTTGGCACACTGAGAGAAGGCTAGGATAACACTTGCCGACATCCAATTCTATTACACCATGTGTGACCTTAAGTCTAAAAAAGGCTACATATATTACCTCAAGCCCAGATCAACTGCCTACAAAATCATAGCCGACCTTCCAGATTCAAACAAGAGTGCCGGAGATGATTACTTGATCGTCTCGACAACTGGGAGTTTGCGCCTGATGACGATCTTCATCTCTTCCCTTTGCGCCAAGCAGTATTTAAAGAGGGTGATGGTAAGAACTGAGTCATCCTATAGTCATATTTCTGCTAAGACTTGCTAGTTCATTTATCTGTACTAATGCCTTCTTTTTGTTTCTCTTTTGCAGTTCTTCCTCAGCCAGCCAAGGACTTCTGTCAAACTTTTTCCCCAGCAAGGATTTGAAAAGGTTATTGGGTTTGCCACTTGAGAAGTGCACAGCCCTGCTGCTACTTAATTACGTACCAACTTACAAGTTCGCTCTACCCGACGTTCCCCCTCGAAGCAAGACTCCTTTCTCTGCAACAACTCCATCAATTGTTTTATTACCAAGGCAAGACCAGGCCTCTTATTCTGATCCATTGGAACTACCATCCACCTATGCTCCTCAGTTTATCCCACTATCTCAGCACCAACGCCAACGCCGTGCCCTAGGGAACCCGCCAGCCGGTAGAACTAGGAGCCGCCGACGCCGAGATTTAAAGGCATCGGCGTACAATCTAGTAAACCCTTCTACTGCCTTACCAGTAATACACTTCGGTACCAAGGTCACCGTCGCTATTACCGCCGACAAAATAGGTCGTGCGAAGATTGTTCCCAACGACCTTCTTGCCGACATCCCTGGTGTGGTCGCAGTCCAATCCCCTCTCCTTTCCAACCTCAATCCAAGCCCAAAGTCAAAAGGGTAAAAAGGGCTAAAGCCAAAGCCACTGTCACAGAGGTCGAGTTTGAAGACACTGTGCCGATCTCGAAGTTGGCTAAGATCGAGGAAAAATCATCAGCCATCAGGAAGAGGCCCACCGAGGTTGATCTATTCGACAAATCGCAATCCAAGAAGCCAAGGTCTGAAGAAGCAACACAGCCCGGTGTGTTCCACACCAACAAACCTTGGACGCTGATGTTTATGGTCGGAGACCGACCTTTGTTGGCTGGGGACAGTGCCCTAGACGATGTGTAAATCGGTGCTGCTATTTCCACTACTATCCTTCTGTCGGCCGACATCAATTGAATGGCCGAGCTCACTAAGTATGAGAACTATGCCTTGATGATGCAACATTGTGTTCTGGTAAGCTTCTACTTACTTTGCTTCTTTTCGTTAAATTTCAATTTCGAGATTAGTGCTTGTACTTCGCCAAAAAATGTCTAATTTTCCACTTGCAGGCCATCCAGCCAGGTTACTCCTTTGCAGTGAAGACCAAGGCATTCAAAAAAGGGTTGACCGACAAGACGAATGAGGCAGCCAAGCTCCTTGCTACACTGAACCAGGCCGAAGGTCGCATCTGAAGCTTACTAGATCAGAACAAGGCTGCCCAACTGGCAAAAAGCAATGCCAAGGATCGTGCTGAGGCCGCTGAAAATATCGTCGTGGTTGTTTAGGCCTAGGCAAAAGAGGCAAATGAAAAGGAGGCCGAGGCCCTGACCAAACTCCGAACAGTGCTCGCTATAAAAAAGGCCAAGCTCAAAGACTGCTGATGAAAAGGCTTATGCAAAAGGGGTAGTTAACGTCCGTGACGCCTACATGAAGCAGGTCAACCATGCCTGTAATAAGGTTTACATCATTGGTTGGATGGCTGCGTTGAAGGAGTTGGCTATCCCCGACGACTCGCCTCTTACCGACGCTAGCCGACTTGCTCTTCCATTCCCGTCAACTCCAAGCCAATCTGAAGATGAAACTGAGGAAGAAGAAGGAGCCGAAGTCGATAAGGCTCAGGGTGTAGTTGCCGAGGTTGAGGATGAAGCTCAAGTTGTTGGGGCTAAGTCCCCAACTCTAAATGAGCAAGTCCTAGACTTGACTCAGGACGACAATGACCAGGTTCCCAAGGCCGTTTCTGAAGCTGAAGTCAAAACTGCCGAAAAGAGCTTGGATCAAACTCTTTTTGAAATTGATGCCAAGAATGTGGTGGAGAAGGAAGCAATACTGCCAATTAAGGCCGACATACCGCCAACAGCCAAGGTTGGGCAGTCCGAGATCAATGCCACTACTGCTAGTACTTAGGATCTTCTCTTACTTTGAACCATTTTCAGTACTAACCTTTTTTGTTTTGAACAATTTCAAGTTTCAATTCGGTTAATGTGCCCTCGTTTGTATCTGACCAAGTAGTCTTTTGTGAATGCATGCTTCCTTTGTATGCTTATTGCTTGTATGTTTCTCCATATCGGGGTAGTACATATCGGATAAGAATAACATCGGAGTTATCCTTAGCTAGCCACCTCGGACCAATATCATCTTGATTTTAAAACTTGAACGTGTTTCTTGGCCAACACTTAGGCCAAGTTTGGGAAGTGTAAAAAAAGCTACAAAGTCAAAAAGTTACTCAAAAAGTTAAAAAGTTATCACTATTCACCAAAAGTCAAAAATTACAGCTGCACAACTCCCAATCCTAATTTTCCCCTACACACTAATTTATACAATTTTTTAGTATACATTTTTCTATAAAAAGTCAAAAAGTTAACCCAAACATCTATATTTTTTCCCTCAACTTTTTAGTCCAAAACGACAAAAAAGTGCACTTATTTAGGACACCTCAAACAACCCCTTAAAAATATTTTATCAAAATATTTATACAAGTGTGCTATTTCTCTTTAATTTAATCAGTCAACTTGATGTCTTCTATCAAGACTTTACCTTTCCAATCTTTTCAAGCCTGACAACCCATTTCTTTATTACCTCGGCTAACTTCAACTTGTAAATTGCTTTAAAATTTCAACAAGTGTCCAAGCCCGCACTAACTTGTAAAATTTTCTGAGAAATTTTCAACAAGTTCTAAACTCTTTGAGCTTATTTACCATTCATGCTCTCTGCCCCCTAATGTGAATCTAAGTGCCACTTAAGTTCACATTAAGTATGCGTCTATGGTCTATTGTTGAGATTAGATTCAAACAAAGACTATCCAAGGTGTTTCTACCTTGGTTTCTCTGTTAATCTACCTAGGACAAACTTAGTTTAATTCTGCCGACATGGCAAGCCTGATTTTATTCAACTTAGTTCAACTCTATCATATGCAAGTATAATTAAACTATGTCATATAATAAGTCTAAGCTACTCATCCAACTTAGTTCAACTCTATCATATGCAAGTATAATTAAACTATGTCATATAATAAGTCTAAGCTACTCATCCAACTTAGTTCAACTCTATCATATGCAAGTATAATTAAACTATGTCATATAATAAGTCTAAGCTACTCATCCAACTTAGTTCAACTCTATCATATGCAAGTATAATTAAACTATGTCATATAATAAGTCTAAGCTACTCATCCAACTTAGTTCAACTCTATCATATGCAAGTATAATTAAACTATGTCATATAATAAGTCTAAGCTACTCATCCAACTTAGTTCAACTCTATCATATGCAAGTATAATTAAACTATGTCATATAATAAGTCTAAGCTACTCATCCAACTTAGTTCAACTCTATCATATGCAAGTATAATTAAACTATGTCATATAATAAGTCTAAGCTACTCATCCAACTTAGTTCAACTCTATCATATGCAAGTATAATTAAACTATGTCATATAATAAGTCTAAGCTACTCATCCAACTTCTCTTGGGATGACCTTCTTGTTGTAAGCCCTAGCAAGTTACTGCTAGTATTCCCCCAACCTAATTGTTGCTCTCTCTCTTCTTTCTTCTATTAGGCCCAGATCTTGGGCCAAGAATGCTTCATTGGACCCATTTTCCACTCCCTAGGTTCTGACTCCAGGGATGTTGACCTCTAGTGGGATAATTGCTTCAGTGCCGTAAGTCATGGCAAAAGGTGATTCCCTAGTACATCTTTTCGGAGTAGTCCGATATACCCACAGCACATTAGGCAATTCTTTCACCCATTTTCCCTTAGCTGCTTCTAGCCTTTTCTTGATTCCATCTAAGATGGTCTTGTTGGATACTTCTGCCTGACCATTACTCTGAGGAAAGCTGGGAGTAGAGTATAGTAGTTCTTGATTTGGTACTTTGTACAGAAGCTTTTGATTAGCTTACTGTCAAACTGAGTGCCATTGTCTACTACAGTGGCCCTTGGGATCCTAAACCTAGAAATGAAGTTCTTCCAGATGAAGTTCTTTATATCAACATCTCTTATCTTTGCAAGGAGTTCAGCTTCTACCCATTTGGTAAAATAGTCAGTTGCCACAAGCAGGAACTTCCTTTGTCCAGTTGCTTGGGGCAACTATCCAATAAGATCCATGCCCCACTGGGCAAACGGCCAAGGGCTTGATACTAGGTTCAAGTCTGCTGCTAGCTGATGTATTAGGGGTGCAAACCTTTGACATTTCTTGCATTTTCAGACATAAGCCTCAGCATCTTTCTACATATAGGGCCACCAATATCCTTGAGTTATGGCCATATGAGCAAGTGATCTACCCCCAACATGGCTTCCGCAGACTCCTTCATGTATTTCATACAAGAAGTCCTCAACATGGGAGGGATGTACACATCTCAAAAGGGACCCAGTGAAGGACCTCTTATAAAGATGGCCTTCTGCTAACAAGCAAAACCTGGCCGACTTCAATCTTGTCTTACGTACCTCTCTTCTGTCTTTTGGTAGCTTGCCATCCTTAAGAAACATCACTATTGCATCCATCCACCTTGGACCCATCTCTATACACATTGCCTCATATTTTGTTATGAGGGGTTCCACACTTGGTCCCGTCAAATAATCGACCATGATTGTCCGTGGTTCCCCTGACTTTATTGCACTAACCAAGTTATCCAAGGCATCGGCATGCCTATTATCATCTCGGCTAACTTGTTGTAGCCAACAATCCTGGAACAGTGCTAGCAGCCTGACAACTTCTTTGGCATTAGCTACCATTCTTTTATCTCGGACTGCATACTCACCCGTTACTTGATTCACAATAAGTTGGGAGCCACAGAAGACTACCACTTCATTGGCTTCCATTGCTGCGGCTAATTTTAATCCAGTAATCAATGCCTCGTATTCTGCATCATTGTTTGAGGCCTTGAACCCTAATCGAATTGATTGCTCTATCATCCGCCCTTTTGGTGACACCAAAACCACTCATGCTCCTGCTCCTTGGCAGTTTGGCCACATTGGAATGTCTTCTAAGAAGTGGCGAAGTCATTCTACTTCTTCTCCTGCTTTGTCTAAAACAATGAACTCAGATTCCATTGTGGATCGTGCGATGCATATTTGTTTCGTAGATTTCCAAAAAACAACAGCGCCTCCTAGAGTAAAGACATATCCATTAGTGGATTTTGAATCTTTAGTATCTGATATCCAATTGGCATCACAATAACCTTCGAGTACTGCTGGATATCGAGTAAAGTTCAAACCATGATCATGGGTAAATCTTAGATATCTAAGAACCCAAATGATCGCTTTCTAATGGTCTTTTCCGGGGTTACTGGTGTACCTACTCAATTTACTGACAGCATAAGCTATATCAGGACGAGTACAATTCATGAGGTACATTAGGCTTCCAATGATTTGAGAATATTTTAACCGAGACATCGCATCATCTTTATTTTTCGATAAATAAAAATTGATATCTACAGGTGTTCTAACTACATTCATATCATCCTTGATAATTTTATCAATTATTTTCTCAATATAATGTGATTGAGATAATGTATATCTGCCAGATGTTTTAGTAATTTTCATTCCTAATATTACATCTGCGACCCCCATATCTTTCATATCAAATCTTTTGTTAAGTATTTGCTTAGCTGATTTGATCATATTTTGACTGCTTTCAATGATAAGCATGTCATCCACATAAAGACAAACTATAACATATCCTTGGTCAGTGTTTTTAACATAGACGCATTTGTCATATTCGTTTATCTTAAACCCATTAGTAAGCATAGCATGATCAAATTTTTCATGCCATTGCTTAGGTACTTGTTTTAATCCATAAAGAGATTTTACAAGCCGACAAACTTTCTTTTCTTGCCCTGGCACTACAAACCCTTCGGGTTGCTTCATATAGATCTCTTTATTTAGATAACCATTTAAGAAAGCTGTCTTGACATCCATTTGATGTATCTCTAAATTATACAACGTTGTTATGGCAATAAGCATACGAATAGATGTTATTCTTGTCACAAGAGAATATGTGTCAAAAAAGTCCAGACCTTTCTTTTGTCTATAACCTTTTACCACAAGTCTTGCTTTATACTTATCTATTGAACCATCTGTTTTCATTTTTCTCTTGAATATCCATTTATATCCAAGAGGTTTAGATCTAGGTGGAAGATCCAACAATTCCCAAGTATGATTTTTCATAATAGATTCAATTTTATTATTACCAGCCTCTTTCCACAAAGGTGCTTCAGGACCTGTTATTGCTCCCTTAAAGCTTTGAGGTTCATTTTCTAACAAGTATGTCAAAAAATTTGGACCAAAGGATTTTGATGTTCTAACTCTCTTACTTCGTCTTGGTTCATCATCAGTTAAATCCTGTTGGTTGAGACCATTACTAGTCTCTTGTGTTTGATTGTCATTAGTCTCTTGACTAATCATCAGTTCTTTTCTGTGAACTTAATTCCTGTCCTTTCTTGTAAGGAAAGACATGTTCAAAAAACACAGCATTCATTGACTCTATAATAGTGTTCACATTTATATCAGGTATTTCTGACTTATAAGTCAGAAACCGATATGCACTACTATTCTGAGTATAACCAATAAACACACAATCTACTGTTTTTGGTCCTATCTTAGTCTTTTTAGGATTAGGAACTTCTATCTTTAACAAATACCTCCACACTTTTAAGTATTTGTAGGAAGGTGGTCGACCTTTCCACAATTCATAAGGAATGCTATATGTTGCAGATATCACTCTCACCATAGGAATGGGTAGGAATTTTAATCCCTTGGTGATTTCTGGCGAGCCACACATAACTTAGTTATCCCTTTGAACTTAGTTCTTGGGATCTCCAGTCATATAAGTAGGGTTACCATTATGACGACTCTTATGTAATAGGCTTTAATCCCATCCCCTTCGATGAACTATACACTAGCTCTTTTGTCAAACCTTTTGTTAACGGATCCGCAAT